GACACCCCCTCCATCAGGTGTTCCACCATGCCAGGGACTGTTCCAGGCACTGGGGTTTTGCTAAAAGATAGAGAACTCCCAGCCCTTGTGGAGCCCCACACACTATTTGCGGGATGCAGGCAAGTAACAAGTAAAGAACACAGACCAAAATGGGAGGATGATAAGTCTAGGGAGAAAAAAGGGAAGACATGTGAGGAGAGGGGGAGGGTGTCCGTTGAAAAGGGTGACAGTTGAAAAAGGCTAAAGGGAGTGAGAGAGACAGCCAGGAGGAGAGGCCTGGAGGACCTACATTCTGAGCAGAGGGAACGGCATTCTGAGGAGAAGGAATGGCATTTTGAGTAGAGGGAAGAGCAAGAGATAAGGGTCTGAGTCAGTACAGGGACTCAGAGCGGTTGTATGGCTTTCACTCTGAATTGCAGAAAAAAGTATGGTGGTTGAGCACCCAGGGAGACACATTAGGAAGTTATTGCAACATTATAGGAAGAGACCGTGGATGGATGGTTAGGTGGGTGGAGAGATGGGTAGATGGGCAGGTAGGTGGGGGTGGAATGATGATGGATGGAGGATGGATGGATGGATGGATGGATGGATGGATGGATGGATGGATGGATGGGTGGTGGATGGATGGGTGGTGGATGGGTGGGTGGATGATGGGTGGGTGGGGATGGGTGGATGGGTGGATGGTGGATGGATGGATGGATGGGTGGTGGATGGATGGATGGATGGATGGATGGATGATGGATGATGGATGGGTGGATGGATGGATGGGTGGTGGATGGATGGGGATGGATGGGTGTAGATGGGTGGGTGGATGGATGGATGGATGGATGGATGGGTGGGTGGATGGATGGATGGATGATGGATGGGTGGGTGGATGGATGGGTGGGGGATGGGTGGGTGGATGTGTGGGTGGGTGGTGGATGTGGATGGGGGATGGTGGATGGATGGTGGGGATGGATGGGTGGGTGGATGGATGGATGGATGGATGATGGATGGATGGTGGATGGGTGGGTGGATGGATGGGTGGGTGGATGGGTGGATGGGTGGGTGGGTGGATGGGTGGATGGGTGGAGGTGGATGGATGGGAGGGTGGATGGATGGATGGTGGATGGATGGAGGATGGATGGATGGTGGATGGGTGGGTGGATGGGTGGATGGGTGGGGGATGGGTGGATGGAGTGGGTGATGATGGATGATAGTGGATGGATGGATGGATGGATTTCCACCTGGACAACTAAAGTGACAGGGCCCCTCTGTGAGAAGTAGTCTCCAGGAGAAGCAGCTTATGATAAAAGCATCATGGATCTGGCTGCATTAAGTATGAGACCATTAGACACTGGTGGAGATGTGAGCAGGGCAGTGGAGGTCCTGCGTAGATGGAGCATAGAGATGGTACTTAAGAGGTTTGAGGGGGACTGCGCATAGAGAGTAAGTCTGAGTTCAAACTCTGAGGCTCCATCGTGGACAAGCCACAGAAGTTACTGATTGGAAAAGGTCCTCCATTGTAAAGGAAGACACCAAGTGAGAACCATTACCTGGGGGGGTGTAGGCCCCACATTTGGTGAGGTTCATGGCGTGCAAATCCACATGATTTACAACTGATCTATTAATACATTTCAGTGTCTTCTGGGTAGTAGCTAGATAACCCTTCCCCCCATTAAAATGCCCCAAACACGAAGAACATTGATGATCCTCAACAAACATCACAGAACACAGTTTGAGGCTTCTTCAATGGAGATGGAGCTGGGGAATGAAGATGCGAAGACACTGAAATTTTTGAGTTGAATGAGTTTAGTTCATTAAGCTTTTTGATGCTTATCTTTAAAAGTGCGTCTCTATATAAATTGATTACTTAATCACTTAAACTGTTTAGTATCTCAACTAACGGTGATCCCTTACTTCAACCATTGAAAAATAATCCTGTTGAAACATCACTTAGATGCTTTTCATTTGTCAAAACTTTATGAGAACATCTAAGAGCTGCATAAATACTTAAGCCTCTAGACATTTCCAAAGAGCAAGAGAAGAAAATAAAAAATCCCAGCCTCCTAACTCACTCACTCCTCTATGCTTCTATCAAAGAAATAATACAATCAGGTTCCATGCAATGCATTTGCAAAGGTTTTCTCTGAAACGGTCTTTGAATAGTGCTTATTTGGTACTCCCAGCATCACTGAGGAGTGTTCATTGAACAGATTAGAAAATCAAGGCCAAGTGCCACCAAGAGTCAGAGAGCTGGTGAATCTCAGAAGCAGCACACATCCTAGTCGCTCTTTGAACGAATCCGAGAAAGCATTCCTTGGCACAACAGCTGCTTACCATGAAATGCTGTTTTCTTGTTTAATTATAAACCCTCCTAAATGTGGTGCTAAGCCACAGACACTTGTCTGGATTCCATTAATAAAACCACCATGTCAAATTTGTTCCAAAAAGGGCGTAGGAATGGCAAAGTCTCACCCTGGAGCTCAATGCCTATTTCGACGTGCACTCACTGAGCACCTTTTCTATACCAGACGTGCTGTCCTCGCCTGGAGACGCAGGCATGCTGTGCACTGTTCTGGACTACGTGCAGCCAGATGAATTCCAGTAACATTCCTTGGTGTGGACACCGGGTCCCTCAGCCACTTCCCTGAAGTGCTCCTTGCAGCCTCCATGAAAACTTCAGTTTGCAGTTTTTTCTGATGGCTCCATAATCAGCCTCCTCAATTTACATAAAGATATTATATCATTGGGGCCTTCCTGCATCAGCACTATGCACTATGCAGCACTGCATCAAGGGGTTAAGCATCAGCACTATGAAGCAATCCACAACTACTGCAGCACAAGTTCCATCTCCAGTCAGGGAGCTGACCCACATGGCACAGCAGACCTCTCCTGCCTCCCTGCTGCTTGCCTCAGCAGTGGATTTCAGTAGGTCCACCTGTTCTGCTCCCCACTCTGTCTCTGATGAAACCACCCCCCCACACACACACATCTCTGGCCTGCACCCCAGTTCTTGTATGCATAAATAAATAAATATTTAAAAAAGAAATTATATCATTAGGCTACTTTTTAAAAATTAACTGGTGATTTAAAAAAATCAATGTCAATCAATAAGACCAGATAAATCTTTGATAATAAGTTTGACCTTTTTTTCTCCCTGAGCAATAACTGCCACTCCAGAGAATTCTAAAATTTATTTGAATGTTAACACAGATGAAATGACTACATCTTGAGAAACTATACTGCTTGTTGGCATCCAAAATGCTGTAAAACATAAAAGGAAAGCAAACTAAACTCTATTTCCTTTCCTTCTGCTTCAAATATCTATCCATAAACATTGGCATTCACATAGGAATACATTGTGTCAGTTGTAACACTATAGTAAAATAATCTCAATTACCATAAACTAGAAAGTTATGGTAACTAGTCTTTCAAATAAATCACCATGTGTCACAATTTGGCACCAACCCCGATCCTTATGAATTATTCACATTTTGTGCATTAATAATGCATGCCCTCTCTCTTCCTATTGGAATGCTCCTTAACACTGAAGAGATGTCTCTTATCGGTTTCTTCCATTGACAGGACGGAATTAACCTAAAATTAGAATGGTATTTTTTATGCTCTCTTTAAAGTTGCAACACTTGGCTAGTCCACCCGATGATCAAAAATATAAAGTACCTATTCTTTCTTGCCTTTTGCATCAGAGTCACTGGGTTGCTTCTGCTAATGAGAATATTTGCATAGCAGAAAAGAAAATCAAAGAAACTTAGGCAGAGCTGGTAGGGATTGGCTAGTTCTGTTCCAATTCTCCCTAATTATATATTTATATATTCACAATAACCCGGGATAGAATTACTAAAACATGGCAACCAGCAGGGGAAGAAAGCAAAAGACTAAAACCAACCAGGCAAGAGTTTTTAATAATTACAGATGTTCCCCATCACCAGGTTTTCTTCCCTGCTCACCACTGTGAAATTTCCTTTCAATTTTCAGTAAAATTATTGGGCACATAAAGTCCAAAGATCATCAAGGAGAAAGACGCCGGTGACATGTATTTGCAGAGAAAGCCACTCACCACTGCTGAGGACTCCCGGCGGGACCATCCCCTTATGAGGGGACCCAACATGACTAACTTGACCCCCCTCCCACCGTCACCCCAATACACACAATAAACAAAAACAGCAGCAACCCTGGACACAAAGAGAAATGCGCTGGCATGAATTTTTTTTTTAAAAATCTTTCCAGTATCTTCAAGAATTCCTTTAGCATCATTGAAACCCAGAGAGAGGCCCAGCGAGCGCGCTCTGAAGTCCCATCAATGGAGAGAAGGTGGGGGGAGAGAGGGGGTTTTAAGGAGGAGCCTCCCCTGAGCCGGCCTCTGTCCCCCACAAGCGCCCGAGGCTTCATTCATTCGCTGCCCAGCCCGGAGTCGGGGAGCGCACGGTCTGCGCCGGAGGTTCGCTTCTCCCCCCAGTCTGGCAGCGGGTTTCCAACGCGTGCACCAGTCCCCAAGTCCACCCCAGCCCCAGCTGGCGGAGATCGGGGCCGGCTGTCACCCCGAAGTGGCCCTGGCGTCTGGGCACCCCCTGGGCAGGTGTGGGTCGCGGCCCGAGGAAACCTGCTTGGCAGACACCCCTCTCGGGTGCGCAGGGTCACCGCCCCTGTCACCCCGCGAGGGCCCGCCCGTCTCCCGCGCCGGCCGGTGCACCCCCGGAAAAGTTTAGTTGGCCGCGCGGGGGAAGCGGGGCGCCGGGGCACCCCGGCGGGCTCGGCACCCCGACCCCCATGGCTGCCGAGAAATGTTTATTTCCCGCAGACGGGCTCCGGCGGCCGCCCCCGGGCAGCCGAGTCCTCCGCGACCAGGACAGCTCCGCGCCGGCCCGACCTGGCCCCGGCGCCGCGCGCTGCCGCCGAGACTCGGGGCGCGCCCCCCGCGCGCGGCGGCGCCGACCCCCCGGAGCGCCCGAGAGGGGACCCCAGCGCCGGCGGCGCGGAGCGAGAGGCTGGGTGCTTACCCCGAGGCGCCGGCTGCGGACCCGCACGTACCCCTGCTTCACGATGTCGTTGAAATTGGAAGCCATCCCGGACGGCGGCGACCCGCGCCCCGGCGCGCGCCCGGGCGGCTGGGGGGCGGCTCGGGGGGCGGCTCGGGGGCACCCCGGGGAGGGGCGGCGGGCGAAGTTGGCGCGGGGAGCCGCGCGGCCGGGCTCGGCTGCGGCGCGCGCGTCACTTTCTCGGCCCCCGAGCCCCGAAAGCGGGCGGCCGGCTCGCAGCACTTCGGGGCGCGCGGGGAGCGCGGCGCCGCGAGGCGAGGGCTGGGGCCGGCGTCAGCTGACTCATCGGCCGGCCCCGGGAGGAGGAGCGGCGGCGGCTCCGGCTCCGGCCCGGCCTCTCCCGGCCCGGGGAGGAGCGCGCGGGGGCGCGGGCGCGGGGAGGAGCCGCGCGGCGCCCGGCGCGCCCACCCGCGGGCGGACACCCCGGGACGCGCCCCCGCCCCCGGCCCGGCGCGCGCCCCCGCGCCTCGCCCGGCCCGCCCGGCCCGCTCCGCCTCCCCGCGCCCGCCGGGGGCACGTTCAGGGGGGAGCAAATTGCGCCCCTCCCGGCCGCCGCCCGCCCGGCTCGCTCGGCCCTCGCAGGACCCGGGTCTCCTCCGTCGCGCGCGCGTCCTGGAGGCGGCGTGGCCAGGGCTGGTCGTGACCTTGGCCTGGGAGGGCAGGGATATTACCTTTGGGGTAACCCCGGGGCTTCCTCCGGCTCCTTGGCATCTGGGGCGCAGTCCCTGGGGGTATCATTTCTCAGTTTTCCTGGTTTCAGCCTGGCCTTCCCGGGGCACAGGACTCGGCTCGTCCACACCTGTCCCCCCAAAGCCAGGGCAGGTCCCAGGGACCCCTTTGAACAACCCTGCCCCGTGTAAGGTGGCCCCCACTTTATGTAAACCCCAGGACCATATTTAGGCCTCCACAGGCTGGCAATGGGGGGAGCACCATGCAACCATTAGGGGGTCTGCCTAGAGAGTGGGGGGGGCACCCCTGCCCTTGGCTGCACCAAGGTCAGAGCAGGCTTCAGCGGCGCGCAGCCAGCATTTATTGGACGTCAGGCTGCGGGCGTTGCGCTCCTCCTGCTACAGGAATAATGAGGTCGTTACCGCCCTCCATATGCTGCAGAAAGTGAACTCAGAGGAATTGAGAGACTTACTCGCCCGCGTCCCGCAGGGCTGGGATTGCAGGCGGGGGGCTGTGGGGTGTGACCCACTCGGCTGTGCACACTGCACTACACCCCTTCCGAGCACAGAGGGGTGGGGGTGCTGGGGGGAAGTTCCTTCCAGTCATTGGACCCGAAATGGGGTGGCTCGTGTTCCCAGAGGTGGACCCTCAAGTCTGGGGGGCCCTTGGTCTGAAGGTGCGTTTTGCATCTCGAGGACCGTTTGACCTGACAGCAGCAGAAGGCCTTTCGCCTGTTAGGATTTGCTGGATCGCTCCTTTCTCGCCGGAACGCGAGCTGCTGGTGCCCTGAGCCTGAGGACGCAGCCCAACAGCCTCCCCGAGCGTGTCCGGGAGGCCCAGCCCGGCCCAAACAAAGAGCAGCAGCTCTGACAGGAGGGGGCGCCTGGGAAAGAGAGGAGCCCTTGGGTCACCACGTGCCCGATGCTTTAACTTTAAATCCCTCACCCGGAGAGGATGACCTGACAAAGCCATTTGGAGAATTCTTTGGGAAGGTTTAGAATTAAAAAACAACAAAAAGCTCCCCTGGTGGCGTGAACTCAAGATATCCATGGGAGACGCATGTCCAGCGCACCATTTGGAGACCAAGTCCACGGTCCCATGGGAACAAAGAGAGGCCACATACATCCGTGTACACACATCACACACATCTGTATACACCCACACACGCCATGCACACACACCACACACATCTGTATATACACACCCACGCCCCCACACATACACACTATGCCACACGTGCCACACATCTGTCTACACACACACATCACATACACACTCACCTGTATATACACACCCACGCCACACACACCATGCACACCACGCACATCTGTCAACATACACATGCCACACATACAAACACCATTTGCACACATACACACCACACACATAAATGCCATGCCACACAACACACATGCACACACACACCACACAGGCACACGCATATACCACACACATAGGCGCACACACAGACACACACATCCCACACACAGGCACACACCCCACACCTAAGCGAAGTCCCTGTGCCCATGGAGCAGAGAGCCCAACGGGAGAGAGGAAAGACTATTTCAAGAGCTACAGATGGCGGCGGAAAGGAAATGGAAGCTGCGCTAGGGAGGAGTGAGAGCAGCTCTGGAGGAGCTGGGAGGGAAGGTTTCCAGGAGGTGACAGGAAAGAGGAGAAGCAGCTCAGAGATGGGGGAGCACGCAAGCCCGGGTGTGAGGGCCGTGGCTTCTGCAGAGCTGAGGACCGGCACTGTCTCAGGCTGAGGGAGGAGGCCCTAGGGCCTGCGGGGCCACAAAATCCACCTCCTCTGGGTCACTAGAACCTCGGTCTAGTCAGAGGAAGGAACCCCGAGGCAGCGAGGGATATATGTTCCTGAAATATCATATTCTCCCTGATGAGTGAAGAATGGACTAGAAGGGACGGACTAGAGATGGGGAGACCGCAGAGAAATCTACTTTCAGGGAGCTTGACCCAAAATTCTTTAGGAAAAGAAACGGAGCTACTAGTGAGAGTGCAAAATTCTCCGCTTAAATTTCTTGATTTTTTGTTGTTTTACTTACTTATTTTTTTAATTTATTTCTCCCACCACCATCCCCTGTGTCATTGTTGGGGTAGTTAGGGGACCGGTACCCACAAGAGGTCGTAGGATTAAAAGAACCAGAGCATCAGCACCACAGGATCACCCCCCACCCCCATAGACTCTGGCATTGAAATCCCTGTTGGGGAGTGTTTCTTGGCGGGGTGCGGGGGTTTGCGTGTCCACCCTGGGCGGAAGGTGGCAGGTATGGCAGGTATCAGCAGCCGGGACGCTACACGGGGTGCAGGTACGCAGACCATTCAGGCTACAGGTCTTCTGTAGGATGAGCCTCAGGCCTGGCCAGGGGTCCTTGTTTAACAACCCCACCCTTAGTCCTCTCCCCTCTCCCACAGAGCATCCTGGGTGCCGGCTCATGCACCCCCCTTATCCAGTGCGGGGCTGGGTCTCAGAAGCCCGGATACTGGTATGTGACAAAGGTAGTAGCTGTAGCAGCCCTGCCTCCCTCTTGGGCTATCCGGCCCGGCTATTCCTTTTTTGTTTTATTCTCTAAAATGTTTTATTTTATATTTATTTTACATCGTTCTTCATTTTTGTACAATGCATGGTCTCTCCTCGCGGGTGTAGTCCCTCAAGGGACCACAGTGCCTTGTGTGAGAACACATCCCCTCCCCTGTTTTCAAGCCTCTTCCTCCCCCTCCTGGCTATTCCTTTAAACAAAGTTCTTCGCTTGGAGCTTCTCCCACCCCTTTGGGTCCAGGGAGGCTCGCATTGGGTTACTGATAATTAGTTAACCCTCAGGGCTTTTCACTTTGATGTGCTGTTTCTGTCAGGAGGAGGTGAGCCTGGCATCTGTCACTCTTCCACCATCTTGCCAGTCTGTAAATTTATTTCAATTGATATGACTGTTTTGAAACATAAATGATAAAATCTATTCAACTACCCAAATCTTTGATATTGCTTATACTTGGTCCAACTGTATCCAGAATTGGATATAATCCCAATTCTGGAAACATATCCAAAGGCTCAAGTATTTAGTTATGAAAATATTCACTTGAGTGTCATTTATTATTGTTATCTACATATATGCATATACCTCCATGTATACATATATTTTTATATGGAAATATGGACATATATTTCTGCAGGAGCTGGGATCAATTGTATGTCATTCCCCATTAAACTTCACTCAATGCAAAGTTATTTCTATAAACTTGCATGAAGCCTCCAGAAGGTCCCAGCCTGGCCTTTTAGCTATTTCTAGAATAGTTGGGTGCCTTGCTGGTGGGCGTGGTGGAGCAGCATACGCTAAAGAGGTGGGATCCTACTTCTGGGTCATATACAGTGTTATTCATCAATATTACCTTAATAAAAAATAAATGATAAAAGTCCATTTCTCCCATATCTCACACAATCATTGCATTTCGAGTCTATCCCCTGCTCCAGGGGGGTGACTTCATTGCTGACTTTCTGCTCTGCTTCCTCTTCCACTCAGTAACTACAGGCTTCTGTGCCCCAAGGATGATGCGCAGGGGCAATGAGAGATTAGAATACAGGACAATTTTTCTTGCTCCAAGTTTAGTGTTGGAGTTCATGGCCTCTGGGCAGCAGGGGTAGAAACACTTGCTCTTTCTCTCAAGGGGCTTTTGCAAGGTCATTATCAACCAACCAGCTGAGAGGTGCATCCTCAGTGCCCTTCTTAATCTGGCTTCCCTTGAGCCCATCAAAGCCCTGGATGCCAGTGCTCCCTGCCTCTGTTGGATCCTTTTGCCTTCCCAGGTGGTCCTCCCAGTGATACATCCTAAGAGAGCCAGGGCTGTTTCTGTGCATTCAGGTCCCCCCACCCCCAGTGGAACTCACTTGGCATCGCCCCTCAGAGAACAGCCAACCCACTCGGGGCAGGATGGCTTTTAGCTCTGCCACTGGTCAAAGCAGCTGTGTAGATGCCCCCAGAGCTCACGTGCACACATTAGGGAGTGGGGCAGGCATGAGTTCCCATGTCCAAAGAAAGGGGCACCCCTTTCTTGCCCCAGGGGGAGGAGATCAAATGCCTGCAAAGAGCCCTCCTTCTTTAACCGCATTACCCACGGTGTTTTAACTAGGCGGGAGATACGTGATTGACCAGACACATCCGTGATGAACTCTCTTTGCAATTTCTCCACACCTTGCCTTTAGAATGTTTTCTGAATATTTCTCCTCCATGGACTTTTGAGACCCCACCAAAACTGAGTCAACAGGAAGAGTCGCATTTACCATTCTGCTACAAATCCACGTCACCACTGCTAAAACGGATATACAAAAGGTCCTTTCTTACTTGTTCAGATATTATTTGAGCCAGAGTAAGTGAAATA